AAGAGAAACAAAAAATACAGACACTATAAAATTCTTTCAAAATTTGTCATTAATAGACAATAATAATCGATAAAAGTATTAGAAAATTAAAATACGTATACATCGATCGTTTGATCGTTTTTATCTAGTATACTATTTCCATTTGTTTGTTCTCTTTTCTTTTTTTTTTTATTTATTTTCTGCAATAGAATTAATTAATCAGAGATAGACTATCATAACAGGTTAAAGTGTAATAAGTTCGAACGTTGTCCGTTAATGTGAACGTGAGCAATCATTTAACTTACAATTAGTATAACCGCATAGCAAATAGAAAGAGAGAGAGAGAGAGGAAGAGAAACAAAAAATACAGACACTATAAAATTCTTTCAAAATTGTCATTAATAGACAATAATAATCGATAAAAGTATTAGAAAATTAAAATACGTATACATCGATCGTTTGATCGTTTTTATCTAGTATACTATTTCCATTTGTTTGTTCTCTTTTCTTTTTTTTTTTATTTATTTTCTGCAATAGAATTAATTAATCAGAGATAGACTATCATAACAGGTTAAAGTGTAATAAGTTCGAACGTTGTCCGTTAATGTGAACGTGAGCAATCATTTAACTTACAATTAGTATAACCGCATAGCAAATAGAGAGAGAGAGAGAGAGAGAGAGGAAGAGAAACAAAAAATACAGACACTATAAAATTCTTTCAAAATTGTCATTAATAGACAATAATAATCGATAAAAGTATTAGAAAATTAAAATACGTATACATCGATCGTTTGATCGTTTTTATCTAGTATACTATTTCCATTTGTTTGTTCTCTTTTCTTTTTTTTTTTATTTATTTTCTGCAATAGAATTAATTAATCAGAGATAGACTATCATAACAGGTTAAAGTGTAATAAGTTCGAACGTTGTCCGTTAATGTGAACGTGAGCAATCATGTAACTTACAATTAGTATAACCGCATAGCAAATAGAGAGAGAGAGAGAGAGAGAGAGAGAGGAAGAGAAACAAAAAATACAGACACTATAAAATTCTTTCAAAATTGTCATTAATAGACAATAATAATCGATAAAAGTATTAGAAAATTAAAATACGTATACATCGATCGTTTGATCGTTTTTATCTAGTATACTATTTCCATTTGTTTGTTCTCTTTTCTTTTTTTTTTATTTATTTTCTGCAATAGAATTAATTAATCAGAGATAGACTATCATAACAGGTTAAAGTGTAATAAGTTCGAACGTTGTCCGTTAATGTGAACGTGAGCAATCATTTAACTTACAATTAGTATAACCGCATAGCAAATAGAGAGAGAGAGAGAGAGAGAGAGAGGAAGAGAAACAAAAAATACAGACACTATAAAATTCTTTCAAAATTGTCATTAATAGACAATAATAATCGATAAAAGTATTAGAAAATTAAAATACGTATACATCGATCGTTTGATCGTTTTTATCTAGTATACTATTTCCATTTGTTTGTTCTCTTTTCTTTTTTTTTTATTTATTTTCTGCAATAGAATTAATTAATCAGAGATAGACTATCATAACAGGTTAAAGTGTAATAAGTTCGAACGTTGTCCGTTAATGTGAACGTGAGCAATCATTTAACTTACAATTAGTATAACCGCATAGCAAATAGAGAGAGAGAGAGAGAGAGAGAGAGGAAGAGAAACAAAAAATACAGACACTATAAAATTCTTTCAAAATTTGTCATTAATAGACAATAATAATCGATAAAAGTATTAGAAAATTAAAATACGTATACATCGATCGTTTGATCGTTTTTATCCAGTATACTATTTCCATTTGTTTGTTCTCTTTTCTTTTTTTTTTTATTTATTTTCTGCAATAGAATTAATTAATCAGAGATAGACTATCATAACAGGTTAAAGTGTAATAAGTTCGAACGTTGTCCGTTAATGTGAACGTGAGCAATCATTTAACTTACAATTAGTATAACCGCATAGCAAATAGAGAGAGAGAGAGAGAGAGAGAGGAAGAGAAACAAAAAATACAGACACTATAAAATTCTTTCAAAATTGTCATTAATAGACAATAATAATCGATAAAAGTATTAGAAAATTAAAATACGTATACATCGATCGTTTGATCGTTTTCATTCAGCATACTATTTCCATTTGTTTGTTTTTTTTTCTTTTTTTTTTTTATTTATTTTCTGTATTAGAATTAATTAATCAGAGATAAACTATCATAAGAGGTTAAAGTGTAATAAGTTCGAACGTTGTCCGTTAATGTGAACGTGAGCAATCATTTAACTTACAATTAGTATAACCGCATAGCAAATAGAGAGAGAGAGAGAGAGAGAGAGGAAGAGAAACAAAAAATACAGACACTATAAAATTCTTTCAAAATTGTCATTAATAGACAATAATAATCGATAAAAGTATTAGAAAATTAAAATACGTATACATCGATCGTTTGATCGTTTTCATTCAGCATACTATTTCCATTTGTTTGTTTTTTTTTCTTTTTTTTTTTTATTTATTTTCTGTATTAGAATTAATTAATCAGAGATAAACTATCATAAGAGGTTAAAGTGTAATAAGTTCGAACGTTGTCCGTTAATGTGAACGTGAGCAATCATCTAACTTACAATTAGTATAACCGCATAGCAAATAGAGAGAGAGAGAGAGAGAGAGAGAGAAAGGTTGAATTCAAAGCTGGCAAAGTCGGATCGGACGATGCAATAGTCGAACAAATTTGTGCGATTTCACGAAGATATCCAGTGTATATGGTACTGTTAGTGCTCTCACGTGTTTGTGCGAAACGCGACGGTAAAGAGGATAAAGAGGATTCCCAAATACGATCGAATAAAGAGGAGAAAAGCAACCGCAACGCAATGGGAAAGGTAGAACATACTATTTATGAGAAATATTTTCGATTTTACTTTCAATTCATTTAATGTTTATCCTTTAATGTATTATTATTTACTAGTTAAAAGTTCATACGTTTCAATGTTCATGTTCATCGTTTAATTAACGATAAATTTGTTTAAACGTATTAAAATTTTCAATAACGAGAATATATTAATGTTGTTTCGTTAAAATATAAATATATTATTGATTTTTTTTTCTGTTTTTTTCTTTTTTTTTTTTTTTTTTTTTTATTATTATATTATTTATTAACGAATTCATATCGTTAAGTTAATTTTGAAAATTTTTCATTTTCATTTAGAAAATATTGTATAATATCAATTGGATTCAATTAACGATTAACTTAATCGTAAATCTTTTCACGTAAGAAATATATCAATGTCGTTTATTAAAATATTAAATAATAAAATTTTTGATTAATTTATTTATATCAAGTTTGAGATTAACATTGTTATTTATTGGCATAAAGGATAACAAATACTTTTTTCATTTATTATTCATTCGTCATTATCGAGTATATTAAAATGTCGTTCATTAATGCGAAGATCTTTTTATGGATGATAAGAAAATTTATTAAAATGGAGGACTGTTTAAATAAGTAATGTAAAAAAAATTTTTTACATTTTTCTTTGCGATTATCTCTCAACATATTACAAGCATTTTAATTTTACTTTTTTCGTTTCTAATTTATTTTTTTTTTTTATCTTTTTTTTTCTTTCTTTTTTCTTTTTTTTTTTTTTTTTTTTTTTGGACAACAAAGAGCATAAAGACATACAGTAGGTTTTATCTAACAAAGTTTTTTCGAATATATTTAGAAAATAATTTCATGTATGATTTATTTCTCGTGCTATTTTGAAATGCCTTATAAAAAAAAAAAAAAAAGAAGAAGAAAAGAAAAAAAGAAAAAAAAGAAAAAGAAAAAACGTGCGCAAGACAAGAGAAAATAACATTTTTATCCGTATTTTGACATAATTCTCAACGTGAACGTACACGAAACGTATATTTTCCAATATCTCTAATGAACTCAATGAATCCACCCCGTATTTGGAAAATAATTAATTACTTATTTGCCCTATGATAATTACTATTTAAACGGAAATTTTAATGGAAATTATTTAAAGGAATTTTAAGCCGAGATCTCTAGCTCTCGCAAACGTAATAACAAATTAAACCGATTTTATTTGAGTATCCTTGAAGAAGAAAGAAGAAAGAATGAGAGAGAAAGAAGAAGAAGAAGAAGAAGAAGAAGAAGAAGAAGAAGAAGAAGAAGAAGGAGAAAAGGGGAACAAAAGAGAAAGAAGGAAAGAGAAAAAAGAAAAGAGAAAGAATAAAAATGAAAGAAGGAGAGAGAAAAAAGGAAAAAAAGAAAAAGTAAGGGGAAAGGAGAAAAGGAACAAAAGGAAAGCATTATTAATAAGTACCAATAACGTTGTTTGTTACATTTGAAAAATCTATAAAAAAAAAAAAAAAAAAAAAAAAAAAAAGAAAAACATAAAAAATACATACGTACATATACATATGTATCTATACGTGTGTATGAGTGTGTGTATGCATGTGTGTGCATGTGTACATTATACGTCCTTTGTAATTTTGTTTGGAAAATAATAGAAATTCCATTGCTCGATGGTAACTTTTAGCAAGGATGCAACGACCCATGAGATAGAGATAAAGATAGTGAGAAAAAGAGAGAAAGAGAAAGAGTGACGAAGAGAGAGAGGGAAGGAGAGAGAGAGAAAGAGAGAGAGAGAAAGAGTGAGAAGGAGAGAAACGCTTGGGACATTTTCAAAACGATAACAAAAGAGCTCTCGTCCCAATGAAAATGAGAAAAAGAGAGAAAGATATATACATATATATATATATATATATATATGTAAAATGAGAGAGAGAGAAAGAGAGAGAGAGGGAGGGAAAGAGAAAATCGTCAGTGGTTGGTGAAAAGAGTTTGGAGTGCGATGTTTTCGAAAGTTATTTTCTACGAGTAAAGGGGATAGAACCGAGTAGGGGGAGGATAGAAGCACACATTCTACGAAGTGGATTATGTATAACAAGTTAATAACTTTGTCCTGCTAAAAAAGGATCGTAATACATATTACTCAGTAAGCGTAACCGCACGAACTATTTTTAATTAAAAAAGGCGAGACGTGAGACGCGAGAGAGAGAGAGAGAGAGAGAGAGAGAGGGAAAAATGGCAAAAGACGATTTATTAACAATTTAATCGAACGAATCGAAGATTTATTTTGTATTTGAAATTACTTTGAGAGAAATCTTTCGCACCTTCGAATCTTTGCCCGTACTTTTTTTTTTTTTAATATTAAGAAAGAATTATTTTTTAATCGGCCAAAGGGTTAAAGGAGATAGGAGAAGAAAAGAGACGCTATCAATTGTCGTCATGATTTTTATTATATCGTTTAATCTCCATTTGATATATCTCATTGCCGATCATTGTCATCGATTTTTTTTTTTTTTACTTTTCAATATAATTCCAAAATATGTGATATTGTATATAATTTCTCTATTATTTATATATTATTATTTGTGTATTATCGTATATGATTTCTTCTTTCTTTTGTTTTCTTTCTTTCATGTGAAAGTACAGAAAAAAAGAAAAGAACGAAAAAAAAAAAAAGGAAAAAAAATTTCAAAATACAATGAAATTAATAAAATCAGAAAGTACCTCTTTTTTGTTTCTTTTTTGTTTTTTTTTTCTTTTTTATTTTTTTTTTTTTTGTTCTCCTTTTTTTTTGAGGGTAATGTTTTAATTCTAATGGATACTTTTTTCAAAAATCGAATATTTTTCAATATCTTCATTTTTTTAGGAGAACTGTTTTAATTATTATTAAACATATATATATATATATATATATATATATATATATATATATATATATGTTTAATAATAATTTGTATTATTAGAAATAATAGTATCATCTTCATCCTAATTATCATCGTCATTGTCATAATCATCATTATTATTTCTATAATAATAATTATTATCATTATTTTTATTACAATCAACAAAATCATTATCATCGTTATCGTCATCTTTACAATTGTCATCATAGTCACCATTTTTGTCATATAAAATTGAAAAAAAAAAAAATTATAGAGAAAAAAAGAAAACTGCTTACTTTAACGAATCATTTTCCGTTCGTTCGTAATAAAAATAAAATTAATTGCTTTTCTTATTTTTGATCAATCAATTGTCAACTATTCGTCCATCTATATCTATCTACGTCTAAACGTATATACAGAGTGTCCAAAAAGTATGAGATCAAATTTATAATACGTATTACTTCTGAGTCACGCTACGAAGTGTATATCAACTTTTTATTTATTCTTTTTTTTATTTACCTTGAAATGGATATCTGTAATTTTTTTTTTTTTTTTTTTTATGTACTTATATACCAGTGATCATTTGCAATTAAATCGATAAAAAAAAATCCATTTCGTTGATATTTTCAAATTTGCAATTGTTATTAATAAAATAGATTTCAATTTTGATAGAAATCTTTTAATTTTAAATTGAACATTTTTAACTAATTAACAATACGTTCCTTTAAAATTATACGAAAGATATTTGATAGAATTGATTTCAATCATTTCTCGTTGATAATTAATTTTAATTTTTCTATAAAATTCTCATCATTTTTAATAATTGACATTTAAAAATAACCGATAAAGCATTTTCGTGTATAAATATTATGTAAACTTTTTTTTTCATCCATTTGATTTCATTAATACGTAATATAAATTTGATCACACACTTTTTGGACACCCTGTGTATATATATATATATATATTTTTTTTTTCTGTTTTCTTTTCTTTTTCCTTTTTTCAGTATATTCGATCGAAACTCTGTTCTCTTTTATTTTTAATTTTTTTTTTCTATTTCTTCAATTTTTTTTATTTCCCTTTTTTCAGTCTCTCTTTTATTCTTCCTTAATTGCATTTTTATTTGACAGGGTATGCTGTCGGTATGCGGTGTAAAGCAGCAGGTGGTTCTGCTATTCTTGATCGAAATCATCTTGATCGTACTAATCGGAACTCTGACGACTTACGGACCTGAGGCTAACGCTAATCTTTTGAAAAATCATGCAGGTATAGTACTCCGAACGGCTCGTGCGTCACGCGCGATGCTTATCTTCTATTACATAAGATCACGCTGGAATGAAAAAAAAAAAGAAACAAAAAAAAAGAAAAAAAAAAAAGAAAGAAAGAGATAAAGATTACGAAAAAAATCCACCGTACGAAAGAGATAAAAAAAAAAATAACGATAATAACAATAATGAAATACTATTAGCGCGATTATTTTTTCTTATTCCATTTTTGTTTTTTTTTTTTATACCGTAATTTTAGAATTTAATTTTATAATGCAATTTTTTTCTTTTCTTTTCTTTTCTTTTCTTTTTTTTTCTTTTCTTTTCTTTCTGTTCCTTTTTCTTTTTCGTTTTATTTTTTTTTTTTATACCGTAATTTTAGATTTTAATTTTATAATGCGATTTTTCTTTTCTTTTCTTTTTTTTTTATTTTCTTTTTTTTTTCTTTTTTTAGTTTCATAACGTAACCTTTCTGTTCATTTTTCCGATTATTTAACACATTTTGACATA